TAAATATTTCTGAAATATGCTTCCCTGCCTTCTTAAACAGAATATACTGATCACAATTTGTTATTCTAGATAATTCAGATTCATTAAATGAAACTTGGGTGCTATGCTGTAAATACAGATCAATATGGGAGTGTGAGAAAATGCAATCATCTTGTGTCCTTAAATCTTCTTCCCCACTTTTCCTAATTTCTTTCTCATAATAGTAGATAAAACTTGCAGGTCTGAAGGCCTGACTTAGTGGGCAATGTAACATGGTTGTTCTTTGGCAAGGCTTAATGAATGAATCACGGACAGACTAACCTTTTTGTCAGTTTGTCCATGCATCCATTTTTTTAGTATTTAGGCTACTCACAATCAAATATATAAGCCACAGATAGGAAATTCCTTCTCACTCTCCATTGTGGTTCCCCCCGCCCACACACACCACACCACCACCACTACCACCGCCAGCGCCTTAATTGTTGATGTTCCTCAGAACCCTTTATTCTGTATTCTCTCCAGGGACATCAGTTCTACACACTCCTGTGGCTCACTTCTCTGTCTCTTTCTCTCAACATAGATGTGTTTGTACTAGCATATGTGGGTATATCACTGTATTATTGTTGCTAGTTTGCTTGTCTATTCCCTAGAAATTTCTAAACCCCTTTAAAGTAGGAATTCTGTCTTGTTAGATTTTGAATTCTTAGCATTTTATAATCTGTATGATAAAGTTTGCTGAATGAATGAGTAAATGAATGTTACTAAAATGATGAGAAAAATTTGAATTTTATGCCTGAAAACAGGCTAAGAATCACTGCTGTAATTCACCGAAATATTTAGGTCAGAGCTTCCTTGGTATCTAAAGCAAAAAATGAAATTCTGTGAACCTTATAGTCCCAAGAAGGAAATCAAATCATTTTTTCTTTGCACCAATTTCTGGGAAGATTTTTTTTAACATGAATTTTTATTTAAGCAGCAAGAAACAACACAGCATACCAAGATCTTTAGGAGGTTTTACAAAAGATATAGACATAGTCTTCATGTGATTTTTTTTTTTTTTTTTTTTTGCACTGACCTTTCCTGACAGCTAAGGGTCTAATATTAAACCTTAATTTAAGGAAGATTCTGTCTCCCACGTGTATTTTTCTTACTGTTCAGAAGAATGTTGTCATCTTCATGTGGCTTACCTTTGACCTTTTATGCATCACATATGAATTCCCCCTTCACAAATACAGCAGAACCATTGGCTCCCTTGTGTGTATATTTCTTACTTGCACTCTTATGTTCATGGAGCCTAAAGGAAAGGAATCCCTTTTGGGAAGAAGGTTTACTATGAACCACAAATTCATCATCATTAAAAGAAGATGATGTTTCTGCTGACATGACAGCAGGCCAGTTTCCACTAAGCTGTCTTTTATATTTGAATAGAATTCCAGACACAAGCAGCACTTACAATCTCAACTTTTCTGTAATAATCTGGCCATAAGTCCTGTGTTTTGCCTTCAGTGGATCGACTTTCCCTTCAAATGCCTTTTGCATTAATATTTTATATTCTGTAAAATTCCATGTTCCATAAGCTGAACCAGTGCATTAGCGTCTGGAAACAGAGAGATGGTAAAAATCTCATTTTTCACAGACTTCTGCAGTGGTCTTCCAATGAAGCAGGTCTGTTGCCCTCCTGATGCCAGGTATCTTGACACCAGTGACTTTCACTGAATTAGGGGAAAAAATTATGTAGTCCACCTATGTATATCCTTTTGCTTTATAAGCCAAAGAGAAACGTATGGTACCTTTACAAGCCATCACTGTACCATGGCTGTTGTTCTGTGCCAATCTCATCCCTTCTCTTTCCTTTGCCTTTCTTCTTTTTGGTCTCCTCTTTCTTATGTTTGTCAGCCTAAACAAATTAGAGCCTATCTAAAATCCTATTTGGTTAAATATATATAATATTTACAAAGAGGTAAAACAAAGGATTGAAAATATAAATAAGATGCAAAAGGTCATACAATGACTGAGCAGATCTGAAAAAGAACCAAGTAGAACTTCTAGAAATTACAAAGTAATAATGAAAACCTCGAAGGATTTAGCAGGAAATTTGATACATAAGAATAGATATTTGGTGAACTGGAAGTTCAGTCTGAAGAGATTGTTTAGATGTAAGACAGAGAGACAAAGAGCTGGAAAGTATGAAAGAAAAGTTAGGAGATATGGGGGACAGAGTGAGGGGCGCTAACATACTCCTCTTTAGATTCCAGAAGGAGATGAAAGAAAGAATAGGGTAGAAAAAATAACAAAAAATGTAACAGCTCAGGTAATCCACAGTTATAGTCAGTGGTGGACTGGTAAGCCAGTGAGGAAAGAATGACTACTTAATAAGTGGAACTGGGCAATAGTCTTTTTATGGGAAAGAAAATGGATGCAATCTCACATCATATTAAAAAAAAATCCCTTGTAGATTAATAATTTAGATGTGAAAGGCAAAACTATACAACCTTAAGAAAGATGATATAATCAAATATCTTCACAACCTTGGGGTACAAATAAATTTTCAACCAAGGCATAAAAGTACAAAACCTTTGCATTTTATAGGAAAAGATGGATAAATTATATTTCCTTCAAATTAAGAATTTCGATTTGTCATCAACACGATAGAAAAAGTGAAGACAAGCCACATATATATACATAGATACATATACATATGTATACATACATATATGTATCTATACACACATGTATATACACACACACACACACAAACTAATGAGAGACAAACAAGCAACCAAATAAAGAAATAGGCAAATGATTTCATGAAGAAAAAATAAAAATGGAAAAAGGTACTCATCCTCATTAATAGTCAAGGAAATGCAAATTAGAATAAAAATGAAATACCATTTTATACTTTTACCAGATTATCCAAAATTAAAAAGTGCCTGGCAGTATCAAATGTTGTGAGCATGTGGAGCAATGCAGCATTTATATGCTATTGGTGCAAGTGCAAACTGATAGAATCACTTTAGAAAACAATTTGTTATTATCTGGTAAATTGAACATTTCTATACCCAGAAATTCCATTTCTGGTAAATATGTACATTTTCTAGAAAATCCAAATAATTTGTTTCCTAGTAAAGTTGAACATGTGGTAAAGTTGAACATTTGCATTCCTAGAAATTCCAGTCCTAGGTGTGTGTTCTGGAGAAATTCTTGCACATACGCACCAGGAGACATGTCCAAGAATGTTCACAGCAGCATAATAGCAAAATTATTGGGGGAAAAAAACACTTAAATGTTCAACAATAAGCAACAGTAAAATAGGTAAGTAAATGATGGTATATCCATATAATGGAATATTATATAGCAGCAAAAAATGACTAAGTTACTGCTATAAAACACAACATGGATCAGTCTCAGGAATATTACATTGAGTATAGGGAAAAAAAAGTTTGCAAAAGGATACATACATTATATTTTATATTTATGAAGTTCAAATATATATAGAACTAAACAATATAGAATTTGTGGATAAAAGCATATGAAATAAAGAAGAAAAGGAAGAAAATGATAAAAATTTTAGGACAGTGGTTATCTGTGAAGGGATGAGGGAAAGGGGCGTGGTCTGTAGGGAGCGTCAAAGCTAGTGGTAATGTTCTTTGTCTTAAATGGATTTCACTGAATTGTTCTTCTTGACACTTTACACACATAAAAAAAATGCATTTATATCCACTCAGTATTTAATAAAAATATATTTTTTTAAAAAGCATAGTGCCTAGTCATACTCAGCGTAAAGAATAATACCTGCAGGCACCTCAGAGTCCTGAGGTTTCGCTGATTGATGCAATGTGAACGCTGATGTGATGTGAATCTAACTCAGTGATGAAGCATTTAGATGCACGTTAGAGACTGTGTTTAAGAGCGCAAGGAAAAAAAATAGCACATTTTTGAAAAATGCCTTAACAGAGGTTAATAGGAAATAAATGTACTTAAAGAGGGTAATCTTTAGATTTTATTTGTCATTGTTAATTACTTGCAAGCATAGCTTTGGGAATGCCATCGTAATATGTTGTATTAACCACTTGCATATTAAATACGGGTATACGATGTCAGAGAGGTGTACTTTCATTTTTCCCCAGTAAATTTTCTTTCCCCCTTTCTGTCCTCAGTTTTTGGTGTTCGTCCTCTTGCAGATCCCTGTGGCTTTGCTCCATGCTGGCCTGTGTCATCTTTGCTGTTTAGGCGTAGTGTATAGCTCCTTTAGTGTGAGCGGTGCTTGGCCCTAACGTAAATCCAGTGTCTGGTTAGAGTCTGTGAATTTTATGATATGTCAGGGCTATTAATGCCTTATGATGCCAGGGACTAAGCTGTCCATATTCTTTGTTGCATTGCTATTACCAACTTTTTGCCAAGCTGAGGAGTCACTCACCAAACATTTGTTAAATGAATCAGTGGAAATGAATTTTTTCTTTCCAAAACTGAATTATTCTGCATTGGATTAGAGATGAATTTGGAGTTAAAACATCTTTTAGGGTTAAAATTCCCCAAGTTTCTGTTTTATTGGTTAGAATTTTTTTCTATAAATACATCAGTTTTCCTCATAACAATTGACCTAGATATTGTCAATGTAATTTTTTTAGTCTTAATGAATTTTGAATATTTATCTCAACATTACATTAAAAATATGCTTTTCGAAAAATCAAGTCATTAAGATCTTTTGTTGAATTCTTTCTTAAGCATTATGTGTCAGGCAGTTTCTTGGTCCTAATTAACAGTAGTGTCTTGAGATGAGGGGCATCATTTTAATGGTACATTTTATAAATTTAATAAAGGAATTGAAATGTATTGGGGAAAAATACCTTTTTAAAAATCCTGTTTCTTTTCTCAGAGTATCCGTATTTTATGAAATATGTTGGTTTACATTTCTGAATTTGAACATCTGCTTTGTGTATTTTTGAATTATGATGTATATTTATGACAGTAACATGTCAATATGAAACCCTTTCGCTATTATTTCTTTTGGTATCTAAAAGCATCTGAGTCAGGACCTGGAAGACTCGTCATGCTCTTCAACACAAGGAAAATTTAGCCGAGAGCAGTTTTACAAGTTAATCATTTTCCCTGGCAAGTGGATTAAAGTCTGGTATGATCGACTTACCTTGTTGGCATTACTCGATCGGTAAGCCACTGAGCATGCAAATGTACAACCGAAAGACACAGTGGGGACATGGTGATACACATGTGCATGCTTTTATAAAGAGAATTATCATTTACTTGCTGAGGTTCCCTGGGAGGCTTTCAAAGTGTGCATCTCTTGTGCTGCAAACCCAAATCAGTAAGATTCTGAAAACTTAAAAACACTGCAATTTAGCAATTAAAATGGGCGATACAAGAATTAGGCAACATGATTTAGATTTAAGGTTAGCTTTTGGGGCAATATTATGCTTTGGTCTACTTTCAGCTTACAACATGGGTAAGATGTTTTTGTAGGAAAGCTTGAGACTCCCATAATGGAGGCAAGGGCCTGACCAGACTGAATGTGGGCATGGGCAGAGGGGGGAAGACAAAGCACAGCGATTCCTAGCTCTTCCCTGGACATTTTCAATTCTGATTTTTTACACCTGCCTGATGTACACTTGTTTGAAACGTTAAGGAAAACCTTGAAACCCTTTTACTCTATCTCACCTCCACTTAACATCCTTTCTCAAGATAAAATGTTGTGGGGATGGAGATGTGTTTACTGGGTGGGAGGGCGGTTAAGGCTGTTTAAGGCATGATAGCAGTGTGGTTATTATGGGACTTCCCATTTCTATCCTCCGCTACCTGAAGCTGTGCAAAGGACGATATTATGATCTTCAAGGGCTGTGTAATTCTGACTGGAGTCTTGGTTTGATAATCCAAGATGCTGTTACTAACATTGTCATCAACAGAAGCTGACTGTTCACAGTTAAATGCTAGCCAGTGGGACATTGAAAAGACTGGTGCCTGCCTTGCTACGGCTGGTCCGCCAGTGACTTCTTGTTATAGTAATGCCTTAAATAGTGTGATCACATACTAAAAAACAGTAGTCTTGCAAAATTACAACAGTAAATTTCAGGACCCACAAGTCAGGAAATGGAGTTATAATGTTCCTTCTAACAATGCTATGTCACCCAAGGGGCACACACTTAGACAAACATTTAACACTTAACTCATAATCCAAGATAATAGATTGTTAGTAGGGGCATTTTTTTCAAAATATTATTTTTTTTCCTGTTAAAAAAGAATTATTGAAAGCTGCAGTAGCTTATGTTGATCTCTTATATTAAAATCAAATGTTTCTGTAGTTTTCTAGATTTCTAGTGTTACAATCCATTTAGTGACAAAACTGAAACTCCAATTAAACGTAGACCAGAATGACAAAGAAGGTTATTGCAGTTTTTTAAAGTTTATAGTTTTAATCACCTTTGTTACAAGTTTGTATTCAGGGAGGGCGTAGAGGTAGCACAGCCTCCGTTAGCCATTGATCTCTCATCTAGGAGGTCAGGTCATGGGCTCTGGAGTCAGACCTTTGGATTCAAATCCAGTCCCCCGTTTCAACTGGTGCTGTGATCTTAAGATGGCTAGGAAGCCTCCCAGTACCTTAGTTTCGTATCTGTTAAGTAGGGACAATCTCTCCTGTAGGGTGGTTACTAGGATTAAACCAATTTAGCACATAAAAATAATTTTTTAAATATTAGTTGCTGTTATTATTATTTCCCGGGATGTGGCCCAGAACCCAAAAAGAAGAATAAAATAAAATCAGGGTAGCCAAAGTAAATCTTGTCAAATCCAAGAGCTAAAATTTAGGCCCTTAATTCCTGGAGAAATACCCCTTCAGTCAGAGCCTGTATTAGCCTACCTTTTGTAAACCATTAACAAGTTTAAAAAAAAACAAAAACCAGTTGCCATGGAGTCAACTCCGACTCATGGCGACCCCATGTGTGTCAGAGTAGAACTGTTTCCTAGGATTTTCAAGGCTGTGACCTTTCAAAAGCACAATACCAGGCCTTTCTTCTAAGGCACCTCTGGGTGTGTTCGAACTGCCAACGTCTCAGTAGTTGAGCACTTAACCATTTGCACCACTTAGGGACTTCTATTATCAAGCTTAGTGATCTGGTTTTCCAGGACACAGCCAATTACAGAGGGAAAGGACCTTCATGAACCCACAGCTGACAGCAGGGAAGGAAGAAGAAAAGCCCAAAACACTGACCTAGAAAAACCTAGCAGTTTGGGAACATTGCAAGGAGAGCATAATCCTCAAATAGGGCTGTTGATCAAAATTGTCAGGGAGCTTTATAAAATTACAGATTCATAAATTTAAGAAGTCCCCATTCCAATGTTGGCTCCATAATACACAGAACTGTATTATGGCATACCTTACTAACTCATCTTCCTAATTAGGAGAGCTGTGTTCTCATATGTTTGATGCATTGCATTGGGCTAATCTGCTGCACAGGGCCTCTTTAAAGTGCTAAAAAGCAAAGAAGTCACTTTGAGGAATAAGGTGTTCCTGACCTAAGCCATGGTATTTTCAATCACCTCATTTACATGTGAAAGCTGGACAAAGAATAAGAAAGACCAAAGAAGAATTGATACATTTGAATTATGGTGTTGGCTAAGAATATTGAATATACCATGGACTGCCAGAAGAAAGAACACATCTGTCTTGGAAGATGTACAACCAGAATGCTCCTTGGGAGCAAAGATGTGAGACTTCATCTCACATACGTTGGACATGTTAGCAAGAGGAACCAGCCCCTGAAGATGGACATTATAAAATGGTGGGAATAATAGCGTCAGAACATGTCTAACTTCAGTGGGGATGATGACCAGGATCATCCCAAGCTGATTCCCATGAGGTGGAGGTCAGACATACCTCTACCCTCCAACCATTTTACCAGTTCTGACACCAGCTGTCCTCCCCACAGCACTCTCTCCTTCTCTGCTGGGTTCGATAATCCATTGCAATGACCACAGAGAACTCACAAACCATACTTACAGTTCAGTGGTTTATTAAGAAAGCAATAAGGTACAACTCAGGCTCAGGATCAACAGACTACAACTCAGGCTCAGGATCAGGATCAGGAAGCACACAGGCAAAGTCTGGAAGTTTCCCCCAAAGAGGAGAGCACAGCCATCCCTTCTTTAGTGCAAGACAGCTCTCTTGGCTCCTCTCGGCCTTGCAGGCCTCCTCTCAGCCCCCTCAGGACAGCTTCCTCTCAGCACCCTTCGGACAGGCTCATCTTAGCCCTGCTGTCTGTCACCACTGACTCTGTTACTGGGCCCCTCCTGGGCCTCTTGTTGTCTTCAGTGTCGTAGCCCTTGACCTGTGTTACAGCTCTTTTAGGAGGTACCTTGCCTTCTGTCTCTCTCTGCTTCTTCTCTCTTCTTTCTTCCTTCTGCTTCTCTTCCTGCTTCTTTCTGTCTCAAAAACCTCTGTGGCATTGTCTGTATATATACACAAACTCCTCATCAATTTCAAGGCATGGCCCTCCCACCAGGGCCACGAACTGACCAATCCGTTCTTGGTAAGACACAGACAATTCATTTGCATAGTAGGTTATATGCACTTCATTTGCATAGGCTATAGTAACTTCATTTGCATAGTATATAGAGCAGTCCCTGCAAGGTGCATACCAATCACAGGGCAAGCTTCAGCCCAGGGCCAGACAGAAAGTATCAAACCTCAAATTGTTTACAGCTTACCTAGGAAATGTCGATCAACCTGGACAAAAGCAACAAACCCTCTAGGGTAGAAAACTAGAGCAAAGGTAACTCCTCAGGGCTTAGGGGAAGAATCTCTCAAGCTGTTTTTCCAGAGAACCAAGGCAAAATGTCACATAAAGGAACTCATTTCACCACAGACATCATGCTTGGTAAAGCAGAGGGTCAGTGAAAAAAAGGAAGACCCTCAATTAGATGAACTGACGTAGTGGCTGCAGCAATGGGCACAAGCATAGCAAATATTGTGATGATGGCACAGGACTGGGCAGTGTTTTGTTCTGTTGTACGTGGGATCATTATGAATGGAAACCAACCTGACAGCAGCTAACAAACAACAACATTGTTCTGAGAGGTCTGTTTAAGAAAGCAAGAATTTCTACATTAAAATTTACATTTTTATTGTGCTAGCTAAGTTCTTATTTCAAAAAAAAAAAAAGCATAAATAAATTACCTTTGATATTTAGTGAGACACATTATATTTAAACTTACACATGGATTATAGAACTTAAATTGCCAGTGTTTAAATTTTAGAAAGAAAAAATACGTATAATGAAAAAGAAACTTTAAGAGTTGGGCAGGAAGTGGAAAAAATTTGTGAGTAACTAGCATTGAAATCAAACTAATCATTGCTAACCTCCTATAGGTCAAGGCCTCTGCCTTTTTTTTTTTCCAATTTTATTCTTGAACTCAGGGCTGATGTTTCCTGAAAAAAATTTTTTTTTAATTCTATGAGCAGTACCTTTATGGTTTCTATAATTACAGCTTCTTCTGTTTGCCTTTAATTCTCTACCTATTCTACTCAAGATATTTTTGGACTTATCCTGTTCTTTTTGCTTATTCTTATTTTTTGTTCTGTCATTATTCCTTCCTGCAAAACATCTAGGCTTTATTTTTGTCTCTCTAGTGTTATCAGGTTGACATCTTAAATAAAAAGCTGCCCATCCATGCATCATTTCAACATTTTATTCATTCATTTTCATTCAAATACTTACCCTAGCACCTCTTTCATGCTAGGCTCTATCTGGGCACTGGGTATAGAGTGATGAGCAAGGTAGACATGGTCCCTGCCTTCATGGAGCTTGCATTCTACTGGGGGAGAAATGCTAAAATGGCAGGTTGTAATAGTTAACAGGAAAAAAATACATAAAGACCTGAGATAGAGGAAACTGGGGGAGCAGGGACACTGATGTTGGATTGAGTGGTTGGGAAGGCTTTTCTGAGGAGGTAACACATGAACGAAGATACATAATATGAGTAGGTGCTTGCCAGGTAGCAAGTAGAGGAAAAAACATTTCATGCATCTCAAAGTGAGCTCATCTCCATCATCACTGCTATCATAAGACCATGCTCTTATTTCTTCCTTCTCTAAAAATCCTCTCTTGACCCACTTTTCCCCCAGCTACTGTCCATGGCAGCAAAACTCGTTAAAGAGTT